GAAAACATTTGAGAGAAATAGACAAACAATAATTTACCATAGTCATACATCACAGACACCTTAAATCATCCATCTAAGACTCTCCTCGAGTTAGAACGGAGAAGTCAACCTTTTAGTATTTTAGCAAGAACATTTGGCGCCCACCGTGAGGCCTCAGTAAAATATGCCTAGGCCACACAAAATCTTCAACGTCATTAGCAACCCATTTATGAAATCTCTAGATCATCTCCCAACCGAAGTGATCCACCCCGCCACCAGATATAACTCAGCTGCTTGCTAATTTTGAAGCTCCTTGTCAGTAAAATGAAACTCTACAAGATAATGAGCAGGTGTTGCAAACACAAAGCCTATAGGAAAGAGATCTAGAGGAAGAGCCTCTAGATTCTCAACCTTTGTCAGAATTTGTATGGGATGATCAAGTCCCAGAAAACTTTAAGCTACTGAAACTGGTATCTTTTGATGGTAAAACTGGCCCTCATGAACATATCATCACGATCAATAATAACATGGAAATCGTAAGGGCTTCTGAATCTTTTAAGTGTAAACTCATGGTAGGAACCTTTAAAGAAAGAGCTTTACGATGGTATATGAGTCTGCCTAGATTCTCGATTAGTAGCTATCAAGATTTATCCAAGAAGTTGATACAACATTTTTTAGCAAGTAAACACAGGAAATTATCGACTACCAACTTATTTAGTGTCCGACAAGGACACTCAGAATCTCTAAGAGAATATCTAGTGAGGTTCAACAAAGAAACTATCAAGGTGTCTCACCCAAACAAGGAAATGTTCGTCGGGGCATTTCAACACGACCTTAAGGCCGGACAGTTCAATGAATCCCTAGCTCAAAAGCTAGCACTCAACATGGATGAAATCATTATCCGGGAAGAATGCTACATCAAGGGAGAAGAAAGTAACATGGAAAAAAGATCCTGGGATGCCAAAGAGAAAATACAAACTAGGGAAGAAGGATCTGGTCATAAAAAAGGAAGACTCTAAGAACGAACAACACCAGACCATCCTGACACTCGTCCGATAGAGGGCAAGAATACACACCGTTGAATGCCAGGTGATCATATATTTTAAAAGAAGTTTATCATCTAAATTAATTCCAATTCCGAGACGTTCATAAGGAGTACATGTCAGCCAGTAGGGCTGGAAATGAGTCGAGTCGAGTCGAACTCACCTCAGCTCGGCTCGACTCGTTAAAAATTGTTCGAGTTCGAGTTCGACACGAACTGTTTTTTAAGCTCAAACTCGACTCGTTATAAGTTCACGAACAGTTCGGTTCAACTCGTTAGGTTCATCTCATTAGGTTCAGCTCACATGATTCACGGACTTAAAAACTATTTTTTTAAATTTATATATTTTTTAGTATATTTGACATCTTAAATAAATATATTTTTTTAAAAATAAAATATTAAAATAAAATAAAAGTTATCATATTGAAATTTAACTTTATCTTTGAAATCTACTAATTCAAAACCTACACAACTTTCAAGAGATACATTTGAGAGTCTAATTCAAAAACTACTAAATTGAAGATTAAATTTGTCTAAGATTTAGAGTAAATATTTAAACCTAATCTTAAAGACAGTATAATTCTTCTCATATGTAATCGAGTTGACTCATGAACCTAACGAGTCGAACTATGTATAGTTCAAGTTCAGCTCATTTAGTTAACGAACTTAATTTTTCGCTCATACTCAACTCATTTGGTTCATGAACCTAGTTCAACGATTTAATTGTCGAATCGAATTCTGAACTATTTTTTGAGTTGGTTTGGTTCATTGTCAGCCCTACGTGCAAGGAAAAGACGAGAGTTCATGGTATGCATATCATAGGCTTCGCGGACACCATACAGAGAATGTTCACCAGTTAAATAAAGAAAGCGAGGTCTTGCTTCAAAGAGGTCGGTTATTATCATATGTTAAAGACATAGGAGGACAATCAGGGAAGAAAGTCCTCCTCCGAAAACCCCAGCGCATAAAATCCAATGCAGGAGAAAGGAAAGAATACAAACGAACTCTGTGAAATACGAGTGACTCGTCATACGTTGAATACCAATGGAGGGGATTTGCAAGAGGAGGAGAAACCATTTCGGCTAGGAAAAGATATGCATGGTTGGTTACGTACATCAAACATATTAGGTTGTTTATATTATGATTGGAAGCATTTTGTTAAAATAAGTGAAAGAGCAAGATGTTGGACAAGATGTCTTAACATGCTTGTACGAAATTGTGGTGTGTTGTGGTTTTACATTGAGATCTCTAAAGATTCTTTGAAGATTTGTTTCACGTATATTGTGGTCCAAGAAGCATGTGTTTCTAGATGCAGCAAACGTCGGTTCAAGCTTTGTCATGTTTCCTAAGAATGGATGTCATAAACCATTTAAGGAAATAATATATTCTCTTCCAAAATATTATGGATTTGCATTTAAGGAAATAATATATTCTCTTCTAGAATATTATGGATGTCAAAACATTTAAGGAAACATTTGATTCAGTTTCGAAAATTATGCAGAACTTTGTGCAGCAGTCTGTTTTGGTTGTTGTGTGTTTGTTTGTTTAGCTCGAAGCTCATGTTATTCTGAGGCTATTTAAAGGAAGGAACTAAGCCTAAGAAGTTGAAATTCGTATTGTATGAGAGAGTTTTTTAGGATTTAATATGTTCTTTGTTGTTTGTGAGCCACTCTTGTATCACTTTAATGCTAGAGCTAGACTGATAGTTGAGTTATAATTATGAATCACTCATAAACTTTTAAGAAAGATTGGATTATGCTTATTGGAGTGTGTCTCCTCTTTGATTGTTTTCATTGTCATCACTATTGTATAATTGAGGGGAGTGAGAGGAGTCTCATATCTAGGAGAGTCTTAGATAGAAATTCCACGGATAGTGATTAGGTACGAAGTTTGTAAAACCAAAGGTTGTTTAGAACTTCAAACTAATATTATTATAATGGATTTTCTTCCTCGCTTGGATGCCCCCATATATAGGCGGCGTTGCACCGAACTGACTTAACAATTGATTTATGTTATTTACTTACAACATGTTGTTTAAATTGTTCATTGTTTTACTGTGTTGTTACGGTGTCTTGACTTTGTTTTCAACATCTTGTTGTTCTGACATCATATACAACATATGTATTCTTATGTTGTAGTTTCAATTGGCATCAAAGAAGACACACTGTTCTGTTTTGGGTGAGCTCCAGGGAGATATTTTCTGGTATTATGGACAACGAAGAAGGATTTGTCAACAGACCACCTATTTTGGATGACACCAACTATGACTACTGGAAGGCGCGATTTGTGGCTTTTCTAAAATCTATGTATAGCAAAACCTAGAATGCAGTTATTAAAGGTTGGGAACATTCTGTGGTGCAAGACAAAGATGAAAAGGATACAACTAATTTGAAGCCTGAAGAGGAGTGGTCTATATTGAATTTACTATTTTTAAAGAATAATATTTTATTTTTTTTACTATTTTTTTCTATTATATTAGACATTATTTTTATTTATTAAATATAAATTATATAACTAATTTAGAAATAGTGTTTATAATTCTCAAGTTAGGAGAATCAATAAAATAAAATAAAATGAAGAAAATTCAGAATATTATTACAGTTTATTGTAAAATATTAGACAATAAGTTTATTTTTGTTATTATTTTAGATTAATATAACTAAATTCAAAATTACAATGTCATTTTTTCATGTATTTTATTAAATTTTATTATAAAATTTTAAAAAAAAAACTATATTTTACAAAAAAATGAGTTAGCCAGACTAAATATTGTAGTTATTAGGATTACTTTTACTTTTATGTCTTCATAAATGACTTTATAAGATACACATGCTTCATGTATGGTTTACCGGTTCTTTTATTCATTGAATTTTGTTGTCAATGTATTCATGTTAAATAGCAAAGCTCATAAAGCTTATATACAAATTTATATATTTTGATGATATCTTCAATTTTTCATTTATATTAAAATTGTTTTGCATGTTATTAATACAGTTACTTTTATCGAATAAAATTTAATTTAATAATATAATATACTAAAATAATGAAATCACAAATTTCTTAATTAAATATGTCTTTTTAAGTCATTTTGTAATTATCAGATAGCGTAACAGCTAATTTACCAAACACTCAAATTAACTTATCAAGTATCGGTCATCAGTTATAAATTATAAACTATCAACTATCAGCTATCACCTAACAGCTATAAGCTAGTTTTATTATTAACATCTAATGGATGTATGTTGCAACTTACAGGTGAGGGACTTTTATCCTCCCTCATTGTAGATAGCAGCACCACACACATCCAGACTCGAGATTTAGGCCAACATAACTCCCATCTTAAAGGGTTGGGCGGTAATTCAAATTACAACACTACTCTGATTCTCTAAACAAAAACCTGTAGTTACAAAAGAAAGTAAACTGGAAAATCATATGCTGAAAATGGATTGGGAAATAAATTTCCTCCATTGCATGTTTGAGAACCAGCGAAAACTAGAAACCTGTAGTTACAAAAGAAAGTAAACTGGAAAATCATATGCTGAAAATGGATTGGGAAATAAATTTCCTCCATTGCATGTTTGAGAACCGGCGAAAACTAGAAATTTAATCTATTCTCATAAATTTCTGAAGCTTGCTGATTGGTGCTAAGACTAGCAGTGGCTTGTCCATAAGTAAGTCACACCAGGACAGCAAAAGTGTGAATTTGTGACAAATTGGAAGGAACAAAATCATAAAAGCTGGCAATATGTCATCGTGAATAGATTGAAGTATAAAAAAACCATTGAGTTCAACTGGTTCTGCCACTAAAGTCAAGGTTTGATACTTGATTTCAAAACCGGTGTTATTGAAAATTTGTATTACGTTCACAAATACTAACAATCCAATTATGATATTCAGAAATGGGATGGATATCACACAAAAATAGCAGCCAAACACATATAAGTCTCCCACATTACCTTAAAACTCCTTCAGTGTGAGCTTAGGACAGAATCCCGGAAACATCGCTCACACACATTTTACTGGTTAGATCCAAGAGCCTATGTGTCTCTTCATCCGACTGAACACTGTCCTTTTTCATCCTCTCAGCAACAATGAGAGGCATTTTACCAGCTGCAGCATAAGTTTTCAGAAATAGGTTATATATATTAGTATTCACATGTCCAGCATCTCGAAGGATAACCAACAATTGTTCTGCTCCTTCAATATGAACTTGCTCCTGCATGACTGCGAATGCTTCTTGTATTAACACGGGATCAGGAATCCAAGTTTTCACACTAGATATAGCTTTCCGAAAATAATACAGAAATTTTTTTACATCGCTCTTTTTCAAATACCCCCTTGTAAGTAGCTCCCACGTCGTGTAAGAAAGACAGACACTCTTTTCCACTAACTGATTACAAAAATTTTCAGCCATTTCCATCTGGCCTTGGTCAACATATGAAGTAAGAAGTAAGTTTGAAACTCTAACATCATTGGTACCAGAAACAGATTCCCACTCCCTATAGAGATTCTCAACTCCAGCAAAGTCTCCAAGCTTCACAAGTGATGATATCATGCAAATGTACTCTTCATCACTCATTTTGCGAAAGCAATCCTTCATTTTCTTCCATATCCGATTAACTTCATCCACATTCCCCATGTTTGCATGCAAACTCAGAAGAGAAGAATATGCAGCTCGAGTTTTCCGCCAGGTCCTCTTCTCCATTTCTTTCAAAGTAGATGCTGCTTTCTCTAAACAATCATCCTTTATACTAGCATTCCTTATATACAAATTGGTCAAAGTACTATACGTTACCCAGTCCGGGTCTACTTTTGCTTTCTTTAACTGAAGCATCACCCTTTCTGCAGTTTCAACATCATTTTCCGAAGCACAGGCAGTTAACAATAAATTGAAGGTAACAACATCCGGAGAAGTATTAATCTTTAGTTCCTCAAAAAGTTTAGGAACCTTATCTATCTTCCCTTTCGAGATGTAGAGAGACATCATGTGATTATAAGGCAAAGGACTTCGCATGAAACCACATTCCGACATTTTCGACACAAGCGCCTCAGCTTTATCAACCAAATTATTTTGGACATAGGCATGGAGAAGGGCAGTGCAAGTTGGTTGGCCTCTCATCTTATCAGGAAGATCCTCAAAGAATTTTTCTGCACTGTTTAAACCGCGAACTTTGGTTATCAAGTCCAAGTGAACAGCATAGTCTCCTTCCACTAGCTTGATATCATTTTGCAATGTCATCCATTCACATACCTGTGTTTGCAATAACAAAACAAAACTCCAATCACTCCATTCAAATATATAAAACAATTTCCAATTCTTCAAGCAACATTGATTTCACAAAAATAGACTCAATTCTTAGTGTGTTTGGATTCTAGGGTTGCAGAACTTGGTTTTTATTTGTTTTTACACATATCACTGTATAACGAGTCAATTTTGAATTAATACAGGATTGTGAAAATGCGTACATAAAACGAACCTCGAGCGCGTGTTTGTAGCGCTTGTTTTTGCGGAGTTCGCGAATCATGCGATTGAGCTGGTACTTGGAGGGGAGCGTGTGGCCTTCTTCCTTCCATTTGTTGATTGCGATGACTGCGCTTCGTTTTGGATACACGAGGCTGAGAAGCCTACGTCCTAGCGTGTCTCCGCCGCCACCGGGGTTGGCGGTGGAGGTGCCTTTTCGTGCGGCTTCGGCAGAGAAGTGGCGAGCGACTGTGAGGTATCTTCCGATGGAACGTAGCGACATTTGGGTTTTACTAAAGTCTCAAGTAAACTGGTCTTAATCATTCGTTCGCCCTTTAAACTTATCCAAGCAAGGTGAACGGGAAATTTTAATTTATATCTCTACAATTATACTCATATTCTTATTCTAATACTTTCATATAAATAGTTATAATTTTAAAGATTTTACTTTTCATTCTCATTTTTGTCTAAAGTTTAGATATTTTGTTGTTGTTGTACACCAGAGCTCATCACAAATTTTTCTGTTCATAAAGTGCATACTAGATGTGTTAGAATAAGTCTTCTAGTTCTGTTTTTATATTGAGACGGTAGGATCTCTGATTACGGTCTAGGACGGGGCGAATCATCGAGAATGACCGAGGAAGAGCATATTGATGAATCTGCAGCAGCAACACAGTCGGTTGGATATCATGAGGACCGTACGATACCTCTCTTTTGGTTAAGTATGAACATCATATTACTAGACATATATGGTTCAGTGAGGTAAGTAAACGACAATTATTTGATATTGAATAAAATCTGAATTTTTAATGTTGTATTTTAGAACATATTTACTTTTAGTTGTTTTCAAGAGACAGGTCCGAAGAAAGAGTTGAAGGTAGCAGGACATAGGTTGAAGCTGATTAAGAGAGTTCCACAGCAACTTCCTATAGATGGAAGGTTGGGTATCTAGATCTGGTCTATCTTCACTCCAAAGAACCAGTTTGACGAAGATAGACACGAACCTGGTTTCCGCATTTGCAGAGAGATGACATCTAGAGACATCTTCTTTTCACATGTCGTTTGGTGAGATGACGAATACTTTGGATGACGTCTCTTGTCTGTTTCACTTGCTCGTCAAGGGAGTCTTCTGGAGCCCTCAAGATATCAGTGAAGGGTTGTTATTGAGTGGGTTGTTGATTACTTAAGAGTGCCATTGAGAGTGGCACAACAACAAGTTTGTGACTGCAGGGGTTCTTACTATAGTTTGGAGTGGTTATACGATCGATTCGTAGAGCATATAGCTGATTCTAGATGAGCATATGCGACTAGAGCTTATTTGTTGATGTTAGTGGGTTACACGATTTTTGCGGATAAGACCTTTACGCTTGTCAAGGCACGATACCTCTTACTATTTATGGACTTTAAGAGCTTATCAGGATACAGTTTGGGAGCAACTGCGTTGGTTACCCTTTATAAATATCTCGGAGATGCTTCCATGTTTAGCTGTAAGCAGCTCGGTGGTTATCCGACTCTCTACAGGTATTTATTTTAATTTAGTTTGTTTTGTTTTAATTAATTTTATTTAGTATATTAATTTTATTTATCTAGTTTATTATGTTATAATTGATTATTTTAAATTAACTAATAGTATTAATTTTGCAATAGTGCTGGATTCATGAGTAGTTTCCAACACTTGAAAAAAATGAGAGAATTGGATACAAGCTAATAATGTTGGTCTCCCTCGAGCGATGAGATGGTCATATAGGCAAGGTGTCCTAAAGGTGGATGACTTGCGACCTATTGTGGACGAGCTGACACTTGCCGATGTCATATGGCACCCATTCGAGGATCATAGAGTATGGCGTCAGTTTGATGGGTTATGTCTATACAAGGGGTGTATGAGGTGGGGTGACACAATTGTTCCATACTTGCCTGACAGATGTATGCGTTAGTTTGGATACATGCAGTATGTTCCACCTCCACCTCTTGATTATACGATGGTTGGTGATATTGATGTTGAGGGGATTAGTTACCATCAGAGCGTTGGGGATGTGATTCATTCAACAGCACTAGCCACCACCCCATCTGAGACAGATGATGGATATCTTCAGTGGTATTATCGTATTTCGCATCCTCGTCTGATACCGCCCCATCGTGATGCGCCAAGAGAGGTGTCAGTTCCTGTTTATGATGCAGGACCATTTGATCCTAGTTGGGCTCGTGCTTCTTCATTGATTCATCGTTATCTTCAACAGGCTGGTGTTGAAGAGAATGATCCACGATTTGCTGAGTTGTTCGAAGCTTTACATATTGCTCATTCACATTGACTTATATTTATGTTTATTTTTATGTGTTAACTTTTAGACTTATAGACTTATGTTTATGTTTATGTATTAACTTTTAGACTCACTTGACCTAGTTGGGATATGTTTATGTGTTAACTTGTAGACTTATGTTTAGTTTTGAATCCAGTTATGTGTTATTGAAATTAAAAATTAATAACATGATTTATGATTCATGTTTTGAAATTAAAAATGAATAACATAATTCATGATTCGTGTTTTGAAATTAAAAATGAATAACATAATTTATAATTCATAATGTGTTGGTAATATAGGCGTAAGTTGTTGTCAATGGTGTAGGCGTCCTGCAAATCCTAGCATCCAAGATGTTGCTGTTGGAGAATGAAACTTCTTTCAATCTACTGTCGCTAGTGGCAATGGAAACCCTTCTTTCATGTTTACCCGAATAAAAAAATAATCAAAACGTTAAGTAAAAATAACTAAGAAATTAGGTTAGTCACATTAACTAAAAATAACTAAGTACTTGAACCCAATGATTTGTGTTTACAAAACTAATGCAGTAAAAGGATACATTTGGTGAAAATGAAGTTGTCATAGGGAAGAAAGTCCAACATTCAAATCCTAAACAGACAAGTACAACATTATAATGATTCATTATCAAGTAACTCATATCTGGTAGAGTCAACCATTTATGTGGTGGTTGAGGACCAAATACCTCTATCATCAAAGATTCTCTCACTTCTGCTAACCGATCGGCAAATAAATTGGCATACAAACTTGATCTTTCATTATGTATTATTTCCAACCCTAAGTCTCGACGAACCATTGGCCAACCATCTTCACCATATCCATGAAATAAAGCAATGACTATAAATCCACAATTACCATATGATACAACATTAACTACATCATCAATATATGACCTGATGTGATTAGGAAACTGAAGGATGAATTGCTTAGATGACTGTGAAGATTGTGATAATTTTAACTTCTTCGAAGCCTGTGATGGTTGAGATTTCTTCTGTGAAGATTGTGATAATTTCAAATTCTTTGAAGTTTGTGATGTTGAGATTGCCTTTGTGAAGATTGAGATGCTTGATCAACATACTCATGATACGAAGGGTCCCTATAAACATCATACCCTACTGGTTTTTTGCATTTCTTCTTGACTCCCCCTTTGGTTTTTATGGTGGACACAAAAAAGTCATTGTGGGGAAGGCAAGTTCAAAAACCCTACTTTTTAATGCCCTTTTCCCAACAACATCTAGTGACATAAATATTTTCCATAACTCATCTATTGCACTACTCATATCCACCTCTGATCTATCATTTACGTCTTCCTCCAACTTAACTTTCATACTTAGTTTCCTCTAATGAACACGCACAACATATATTGGTATCAGTATACCACCAATTCTATATCCTGTCAACTCACAAGCACAAGGTAATCCACAGGTTGTTCTAAGAGTACAACTACATACTTCCTTGTTAGTTCCGTCATAACCAACTCGTGTTAACTCTTTAGCAACGTCTCAATGCAGCTCGAGACACTGAACAACATAAATTATTGTAAAATGGACTTACGTAGGTGTGCTCAACTTCATAAAAAATCTTTTAAAAAGAAGCTATAATCTTGCCCAATTGTAACTTTAAGTTGTCATTCATAGTCTCCTAACATATGACCATGTCACCAATACTATTCCTCAACATCTGCTTTAACTTCCAATGAGCAGACTCAACCCTAAAAATAATACATATTAAAAATACTTTAAAAAATACAAAAAAAATACAATTTAGAAATACTAAAAGTAAATACATACCGATTAGTCGTAGTGTTACCCAAATGTAGCACTCGATTAATCCATGCTCCAACGAATCTTTGTCTATATGGTGTCAACCATATGTCTTTCACATAATCAATAAATTCACTACAATCAACACACACCTGCTCAAGTTGGTTCAACCTTTGATCATACTCAATCTCATCACTAGCCCATACAACTCCCATCTATAAGTCCTCGATCGTCTTTTGCATGTCACTAACCACATATTGCTTGCATTTTGCACCAACATTTTTATTAATGTGAAATCGACATAGAAAATTGATCGACCTTGGAAACACATTTTCAATGGCTTTCATCAAAGAAAGATCTCTATCTGTCACAATCACTTGTGGACACAAATCTTTCTTCACAAACAATTCTTTAAGCTTATCTAACACCCAACAAAATGTCTCAGTCTACTCAGACTCAATATACGCAAATGCGACAGCAAAAGTCAACTCGGTTGATGTCATGCCAACAATTTCAAACAGAGGTTGCCTATATTTGTTTGTCTTGTAAATGATGTCCATAACTAACACAATAGGAAAAATATTCAACAACTTAACTGAATCTGGATGAGCTCAAAATATATCTCTAATAACTTTAGAGTCGTCTCTTTTTCTATTCCAATAAATATAACATGCACCCTCAATAAGTTTAAACAAATGTTGTATCTCACTTTTAAGATCTCTTATCTCTTTTTCTATCATACTCTTCTGCTTGTATATTTGCGTGATCCGAGTGAGATTCTCTGGATCTTGCTCTTGTAAGGAAAGCAATATATGTCTAGGTCAAACATTTCTCTTTGTCAAATCAACAACATGTTACTTCTGACCCGCTGTCAACCTACCAACAAAGGAGTGGCCTTCTAATCTATCAGGTAAACCATGATCATGAGCTCCATATTTTACATCAACCTTCCATTCAGATCCATCATTCACTGGTATTGACCTGATTCTAAATGGACATTTACATTTTTTTCGTCACACTCTGGGTTCCACTATCAATATCCTTGTGTTTTCCACATTTATCACAGCCGAATATTAATTTGTTACTTCTCCCTCTCTTGCCTGTTTCAATATCTGAACGAGTGATGATAACCGTTATTTTATTTCGGATTTCGATCTCTTTAATTCATCTTATCATCTCTTCTCGTGTACCAAATTTTTGAGTAG